TTTGGATATTGATCCATCCGCACCATTGGATACCATGTTTTTCCGATGTACCTAGTAAGTTGTGTGCCATTCTCTCGTACAAACACACGTTGTCCATTCTCTTTGTTACCTCCTCAATTGTCGGTGGTATTATGGCCTTCCATTGAGAGGCTATCGCAATCTTGGCTATAGTCAGTATGTTTATTGCAGTCATGGTCGCTGGAGGTTTTACTGAGTCGCTCGTGGGAAGCATATGCAGCAGGTAGTGTATAGGGTCTAATGGTATGGCTAGGTTAGTTGTTTCGCGTATAAGTGATTGGACTGAGGTCCAGAACGGGGTTATGATCTGACAGTCCCAGAATATGTGAAGTAACGACCCTGCCGTGCGGTTGCATCTCTAGCACAGCGGGGAGGAGTTGGGATACATTCTTGCCAGTCGTGAGGGAACTAGATACCAGCGCATTGCTATCTTGCAGAATGCTTCCCAGAGAGACAGGCTTTTAGATGCCCGTTTTGTTAAGTAAAAGGCCTCATGCCATTGTTTCAAAGTGAGTGTTGTCCCTAGATCTTCTTCCCATTTTTCCATGTAAGGAAGTTTATGTTCAGATTTCTCTCGTTCCAGTGCATTATAGCAAAGGGCTAGGGGTTCGACATAGCGGGATGTCAAAATGTACCGGGTAGAGGGAGTGTCTGATCGCTTTGCGGGTGTTGTCGGCTTAGTGCTAGATTGCAGTATGTGCTTGACCCTTAGATATTTGAATATGTCTCTGGGGCTCAGGGAGAATTCACTTTGTAGGGTGGGAAACGTTTTCAGCATGTTTTGGTGATATAGGTCATGGATTGTGCGGATCCCTAGGTTCGACCATGTTTGTAGGGGGAGGTCGGGGGAACTGGCCTGCAGTGTCGTGAGTGGTGCTTCTTTGAACAGTGTCTGTGTGTCTAAGACCACTGAGGCCCATTGTTTCCAAGTGTTTAAAGTGGTTTTGGTGCACCACAGCGTGGTGTGCCCTATGGGTGTTGGTTCGGGGGTCCAGAGGGCATTAGTTAGAGTGACTGGGTGCATGCAGGCATCCTCGAGAGCCAGCCATAGGGGGGTTCGTTCTGCGTCTGGGGTTCTAAGTAATCGTAGTCCCTGTGCTAATAAAGATGCTCGGTAGTAATTACGGATGTCCGGAGCGCCTAAGCCGCCTTTCGCAAATGGTAGGCTAAGTTTGGTGGTGGCCATTCTGGGAGGCTTCCGTTTCCATATGTGGGCGTTAATGATATTCTGGAATCTTTTTAGTAATTTGGTCGGTAGTGGAATGGGGAGTGTTCGGAAGAGATAAAGCATGTGGGGGAGAATCATCATTTTAATGGAGTTGATGCGTCCCGGCCATGAAATTTCTAACCCTTCCCATTGGCTCATTTGGGCTGTGAGTTTGTGAAGCATAGGTATATGGTTTTCGGTAGTAAGTGAGTTTATTGATTTCGTTAGTTTGATACCTAACTACTGGATAGATTTAGATCGCCATTCGAATGTATGTGTTTCCTCTAGTTTTTTAATCGTGGTCTTTGGTAGTCGGATGGGAAGAGCTTGGGTTTTAGCTGTATTGTTTTTGTAGTACGACACTGAGCCATACTTGTGCAGCGTTTGTAGAAGGACTGGGATAGAGTGTATTGGGTCTGTCAGGAATACTAGAATGTCGTCTGCGAATAGGGCTAATTTTTGTTCCCCCACAGGGGTGTCTAGTCCTGGGATTAGTGGGTCACGTTTAATGTGATAAATGAGGGGCTCTAGGCACAGAATGAAAATGAGTGGGGACAATGGGCATCCCTGGCGTGTGACATTCCGAATGTGGAAGGGTTTGGAGAGGAAGCCCGTATTATGGACTCTTGCCGAAGGGCAGCTGTATAAGGCTAGGATACTAGTTATAAAGGGCCGGGGAAATCCCTGCACTTCGAGAGTTTTCCTCATGTATTTCCAATTTAGGCGGTCTAACGCTTTTTCTGCGTCGAGTGCCAAGAGGACGCCTTGCTGATTTGATGAGTGTGCCCATTCAACTAAGTTGATAAAATGTCTTGTGTTGTCACCCACCTGTCTACCGGGCACGAACCCTGCTTGCTCCCTCGAAACTAGTTTGGAAAGGAGTGGTTTCATTCTATTTGCCAACAACTTAGCATAGAGTTTTGTATCGGCATTTAGTAGCGAGATGGGTCTGAGGTTGGCACACATTGTAGGCGTTTTATTGGGTTTAGGGAGAGTTACTATGTGGGCTTCTAGCATTTCTGGTGGGATTTCTCCTGTGTCTTTTATATGGTTGAAGAGTTTGGTGATGTGTGGGGCCAGGGTATCACCAAATTTATGATAGTAGCAGTTTGTTAGTCCATCTGGGCCCGGTGCTTTGTGTTTTGGCAGTGTTTTTATCGTGGAGCGAATTTCTTCGTTTGTGAACGGCCTCTCTAATGATGTTTTTTGTTCCTGGGTGAGTGTTGGTAGGGTAGTGTCGTGGAAAAAGGTTTGTAAGTCTCTGTCCGTGGGTTGATGTGTGGCGTTGTCACTGTCGAGCTGATACAGTGAGGCATAATAGGAGGCTAGTTCCTCTACCATATCTTGAGG